CACGCAGGTGGCATCCAGCAACCATCAACGCATGCTGGCTCGCGACAAGAATACAGCCAAACGTCACCCACACAAATTTTCTTTACATACCCTTTTTCTGCACGAGGGCGTGTGGGACGCTCAGCCAACGCCTTGTCAAGCTCTTGTTGCAAGATCGACTCTTGCGCAAGAAGCTGAGCAGGCGCCCAAACAACTGGGTTTCCAAACGGCCCCAGCACACATTGCTTCATATAAGAGAAGCACCTGTACTAGCCATCCGGGATCACTTAGGCCCCGGTACTAAAATATACTGCCCAATTCACTGCAGGTTGCACTGTGTCCAACTTGGAGGTTTCACAAGCTCATCCGTGGATTCCGATGCGCCCCTCGCGGCAGAAGCGGCAGAAGCTGCGGACGTCGTGTGAGCGGCACGCGCAGTAGGTGCCACGGTAGGTGCCACAGGGGCGCGCTGGGCCTCGAGGTAGTGGATGACTTCGGCCAAAAGTTCCTTCTCCACTTTCTGGTTCACGTGCCTCCACGTCTCGAAAATGACATCAAACCCAGTTCGCTGATAGGTGGCTTCCGAGGCAGACTCACCATGGGTTGAAAACGCGGCGACTTATACGAGTCATGGGAGCAATCGGCTCCTTTCAGTACTCCAAGCATTCAAAGATTATATATAAACAAGTAGATATCTCCCAAAGATCCCAGAAGAGGCTCGATCTGGAGATGTTTCCGAACCTCCACTCAATTGTGCTAAGTCAAGTCCTTGCATGTCATCACAAACACCGACTTTCGTCCCTTGAATCCCTTATTTGTTCTCCTAGGCACTCGTAGCCTTTTTGCTTCTTTATGATGTGCTCCTTGATGGTCACCGCGTCAGTTTCTACAGTTGCCGTGGCCTTCTCTGCGTCCACGTGACACACCTGCGTCAAGTCCTGCAAGGTGCTCACGTCCGCACCGGCGACGTCGGGTAAGATCACCGTGGTCGGAATACCTCGGGTCGCCGGGTGGTCGGGTGGTCGCCGGGTGGTCAAGCTGCGGTTTCAATGAGTGACTTGCGACCAACGAAAGCACAAGATTGCTTTGGGCAATCAAGAAACTCGAGTGGGTAGCTGTAAAGACCTCGAAGATACACCAGATGCGCTTGGGATACGCACATTCTTTGAGCTTGTCGAAGCACATCAGCATCTTCCCGATGCCTTTCAACTGCTCACCAAAAATGCTAAAGAGCTTTTCGGGCTCCAGGGCTTGATTGTTGTGCTCCAACATTCCTTGAGTGAGAGCCGAACATGGAGCGACGTGTTTTGTTTGTGAAATCCTTGAGCCGCCAATGAAACCGGCACAAATCCTCCGAGTCCCAGAAATCCCTGCCATTCCCTGCCCGAATTCATCTACCCTTCCCAGAAACACCTTCATGATAAACTTGATTGGTATGTCAAAGGGGAAAACTAACTTGTATGAGTCGCAAGGTCATCATGGCTCTTCTTTCAATCAGCAGTCGCCAAACAGCAACAAGCTTTTGAGGCGGGTCGCTACAGCCAAAAACAACGCATTGTAACCGAGGTCAGAATTCTATTGAAAAACTACGAGTTGTTGACTTCACATATTAATATGCACATGCATGGACACACATACATACAATGCAGGATATGCAAATCTAAGCCACTGAACTGGTTGTTCACGAACATGCACCTGATTGACAAAGCAAACCAAAAGCACAGTTGCGCTAGCTTTACTTGTACAGCAATGTGCTTTCAGGCAACGGAATATGAAATCAAATGATCAATCAGTGCAATTCTAAAAACACGGCCTCAAAAACTGTCTAGCCATACCGGGATGTAAACACATGCGACAAAAACACACCCGCAAAAGTAGAGCTGTAAACAAGTGTTTTCATCTACCTCTTGCAGCTCCAGCAATACCATCTTTATCATGTTGGCTTGCAATCTCCACGCACTGGTTGGATCATATATGACAATGTGGTGATTCGTGCCATGTTGCTCCTTCAACCTGCGCATGTCTCGCCTCAAAAGCTCCGAACCCGTGCACCACTCGCTGCTTTCCTTCTCTTACCCCAAATCCATTCTCGGCCATGGGTGGCCATGCAGTCCAGGCACCACCAAATGTAGATCTCGCTGTCCCTTTCTTCGGTCACTGTTGTATGTCTCTCGAACCATCTATTCAAGGCCTTCTTGACGTCCTCGAGCTTGTAGCTCCAAACCCATGACAAAAACCTTGGCTCCTGATAAACCAAACACTCTCATCGCAAATACCAGGTCAGCTCAACATTCTCTTCCGCTGTTATGCGTTACTTGTGACGCCATCACGAATTATTCCAATTGGTCTTGAACACAAATCAACCCAACAAGTGTTTGGAGAACAACGTGTCAGATCTGAACCATCCGAGGAACCAATTCGCCTTCGCACTGTTCTCGTTTAGGCGCAGTGCATCCACCATGCTGCAATCCCTCTCCCCATCACGAGGGCACCAAAGATCCTTGCCCAGGGCCCAAGGCCTCGAAGAGGACATGTAAGATCCTCTACAAACGAGGAGAAATTGTCCTAGTAGCCTTCTTGCTCCTAGTAGCCTTCTTGCTCCTAGTAGTAAGGCCAGGAGCCCCGATCGTAGCGTCCTTGCTTCTAGTAGCGATGCCCTTTGCTCCGTTCGTAGCGTCCTAACTTGAAGTTGAAGGGGGGATCATTCATTGAAAAGGGGTATACAGTAACAGAACCAATTCATGAGCCGCTAAGGGACTAGCTACATCTCCCGTGACATGGTCACCGTGAGCTGGTCAGAGAGAAACGGAAGTTTGTTCACCAAATTGTTGTGACTGCGGAATGCCCACACATGGCTGACATGGTGGATGGTGGCCATGAGCTTTGGTTGGGTAAACCTGTTGTGCGGCAAATCCTGCATTCCTCTGTGTCGCGAGTTTCATGAGTTTTCCGCGTAATGCTCGTGTCTTTGATGGAAGCCACACAAAACTAAAACATCTTCAATTCCCTTCAATGGAAGCAGCTACGCTATGCATTTCACAATGAGACACAATGAGACACATATCACCTTGTTGTGTTGTTCTGCCCCACTGAGTCGTCGACCCATATGCCAGGACGCTCGCCACTTGGTGGAAGTTGGGAGTTTCGGGAGGAGGACACTCTGGCAGCTGGCTCCACAACACCTTCAGGGTGGGCCGAGCAAAGCTAGGGCCTTTCAAACCATCGAGCGTTCTTGCCAAGGGGAAGTTGAGTTCGACCCCTTCGGAATATGTTCAAGCAATTCGTGCAACATCTTGCGACAAGAGCATTCGACGAACGCAGCTTGCTCATGTTGTATGGGGTGGCCAGATCCAAGATCTGCCCTTGTTAAGCAGACTTGTCAAAGCGTTCTTGTAGAGAACTTGTCTTTCTCCTTTCCGTTCGGTAGTTGTTGTTGTTGAGGTGGCTGGCAGGACTCTGGCTGCATACTGCAATGCAGGGCTACATCTTGAAGCAAAATGCAACAACGTTGCTAGCCGGACATAGATGAAAAATGATGAACATGCTTCTCATTGCACTTCTCGCTGTGGATGCCCGAGCACAAATTATAACCAAACACAAAAAAGGTAACTTATCTACTTAGCTTAGAATCCGCATTTCACTGGTCTGATCTTGATTGAAGGTCGTAACCTAGCAAGGGGTAGAGGTAACGGGTAAGGATGGGTAGTGAGGCGAGTCCAAAGACCTTTCCACATATCAAAGGTTGGGTTCCATTGCCACTTGTCTTCGATTTTCCGGAGGTCACAAACTACAAACGCCGAAGACATACCAGCATCCGGACCTCCAGCTGAGCCTCACTGATATCGGGGTTCTCTGTGCGCTTGAAGGAAAAGAAACCATTCTTGGTGAATTCACATTTGCAATGATCGTCCTGGTGCCACTTCCAAGTCACTGCCTGGTTTGTTGCCCTTTCGTCGTAGTCGGTCTCGAACCGCCCAAGGACATACCTGGAATGTAGGAGAGACACGGATACTAGCTCACATTCCGACGGGTTTACAGTGCATCACTGACATTTCAGTTGTGCTCAACTCAGAATTCCAGTACATGTCTTATTCGGGCCAGCTTTCTGACCTCAAACAAGTTCAAGCAAACTGTCTGACAGTGCAAGAGTTATTTGGTTTTAGCATGCCCAGGTGCGTCAAAGAGACTCCAAGCTTGAGTGATTCAGTCTTGACCTGCTCCTTGCGTGCTGCTAGCTCTCGCTGCACCTTCCCTTTACAAAAGCCATAGGCACAATGGGTCTGCAGGGAATGCAAGTCCTGTGCGGGCTGCAGTGAACATCTTCGGTGAAATCCCTAGCACAACATAGTCCAAGTACGGCAGCGTCCACAACACCGCAAATTTCAGAGCACCTGAGAAGCTGCAAAACGAAAGCCAGCGCTTTTGTGGGGCTGATTCGCAGTGCAAAGCCGGGAAGAAGCTATTTCCACTGTCTGTGAAGCCTGATGCGCGCCATACCTGGGAACAGAATTGTAGCTACAAGACCTTTATTTTCAAGGTGGCCTGAACAGAGTGTTTTAGGGCAGCAAACCGTGGTCTCAGGCCACCTTGAATGTAGCTTGAAAACCACAGCTACATAGCTACCCTGGGTGTCTATACCTGGCAAGGTGCCAACTACACCTTTATTTTCAAGGTGGCCTGAACAGAGTGTTTTAGGGCAGCAAACCCTGGTCTCAGGCCACCTTGACTTAGCTTGAAAACCACAGCTTTGAAGCCTCATGCGCGCCATACCAGAACTGTAGCTACTTGTAGCTACCCTGGGTCCGTATAAATAGTATGTTGCTATACCTCTTACACACCTATACAAGTTCAAAGCACGAATGAGACTTCAAGGCTGTGGATTGCTGTGCGTGTGTAGAGGTTCTCAAGCGGTTGACGGAAAGGGAACTTGAAGCACTATACCTGGTAGCTGCACTATAGCTACCCTAGGTCTCTCTACCTTGCAAGGTGCCAACTACACCTTTCCATTCAGATGATGCAAATGATGCATTTGGCATTTCTTGCATCACCACCCCTCAAAAATCACCTCCAACACAACCTCAAAAAACCTTCCCTCGGAGCACCCTCCTCCCCCAGCATGTGCTGAGTTGACGTATACCTTTCTCGGGCCACCCCCCCAGACCCCCTAACTACTCACTTCGTTCGCCAGACACAACTCCGCTAGCGCCTTCTACGAAGGCTGGCTTTCGTAAAAAACCCGGTCAATTCGGGGAAGGACGATATCACAGCTTTGTTCTTCCAGTGAGCAGGATAGACACTAAAGACATGGCGTGTCTCAATGTACAACTGATGTGTGATGAACATCAACCCTCGCTGTAAACTCATCTGGCTGCACCACACCTTCCAGTTTTGTGCTTGCACCAGCCGATCCAAACGGCGTCGGAAAGACCAGAAGCGCGCACAACTGCACATTAAGATGACAAACATCATCAAGAGCAGGAAAACCAGCAGAAACACAATGCTGTAGACTGGAGAGCACAAGTTTGAATCCACGACGCCCATCACAAGCAATGGAAAGAAACAGGTCCTTGGCTGTGGGGCAAGAATAATCCTTTATATACATATGAAGTGTTTGTGCTGAAGGTACGTATACAAAAGGCTGCAACTTTGGTTTGGTTCTTGTTGGTTCCTTGTTTTGTTATTTTCTTGGAATTTGCTCGGTTGCTCCCTAGCTGGGATTCTAGGAAGGTTCCCAGCAGTGTAGTCCCCTGGTGCCTCTGAGGAGGGTGCAGTTTTTCTGTGGTGGCGAGTCGCGAGTTTGGTTTTATTTCAAGATGTTATCAAAGCCCTGCCATCAATACCCAACAAAGTCTTAAAGTCCACAAGAACCAAAAGCAAGCCATCAAACACCAACCCACAACCAAATCAGCCCAAAGCCCCAAACAAACCACCAAATCAATCACCAAAGTTCAATTCACCAAGAAGCGATCAAAAGCCAACAGAAGAAGCTATCAAAACCTACTGTAGCCATAAACATCAACAAACAAAAACAAACGATCAGAATCCAAACCAACACAAAACCACAGAACCCACCCCAAAAGCCAAAAGCCACAGAAGCAATAGGTGGAGCAAAATAAGAAGGAAAAACACATGAAGAAACGAACAACAAAATTTGCCCTCCTAGACAAATATTGCTAGCTAGAGGCCCACAGAGTGAAATTCTGACACCAAACATCAAAGTATATACAATAGGGAGCAAAATGGGAGCAATATCACCGGCCCTACAAGAACGTCCGCAAAATTTGAACCACTATCTGATCCAATCTAGGTCTCTGGCACCTGTCATCTCCCTCAAATGCAAAGCTTTGATCGCTGCACATCCCGCAACCGCTTTTGAACTCATTGGGAATAAAGCCTTCAGGACAATAACTGCACTCTGGCGAGCGCTCCAGGGCAAAACGGCCAGATGAGCAAGTGGCACACCGAGCCTTCCAAAGCTGCAAGGTGATTTCGCGCCGATCCGCATTTGTTGGAACAATATTATCACAATATATATCTGAATCTAGCCTACCATCAAATTTAATCGGACGTATAATGATTGTAATGTACGATAATGTATCTATACAATACACGGAAACGATAAGCATCTCTTCCGTTTCTTTCTCTCTGGGCCCAACGTGGACCCACTAAACCCAAGCCTTGTCCGCATCCGGCGCAGTGCCAGCCCGACAGGGCGTGCAGCTGCCGTCGCCCGGCTCCGCCACGTAGCCGGCATCGCAGCGGCGGCAGCTTTGTCGGTCGGACGTCGGGAAGAAGCCGGGCGGGCAAGGCTCACAGCTGGTGGCACCGGAAGAGGAGGAGATGAGGCCAACAGGACAAATGTAGCACTCCTATATGGATCTCAACAAGAAAGGATCGCAACGAATTGGGATATTCCCCCAGCATGAAAAGATTGGGAGGCCTATTCTTGAGGAAAACCCACAAGGGGAGGGAAGGACAGTCTGCGCGTCCTCATTCCCCGTGCGGTTTTTGTAGCGCCCTGGCTCGCAAGGCACACAGGCTTCCCAACCTCGGGGTGGGCTGGGACAAAAACTCTGCTCAAAACCTAACCTTAGTAGCCTTGGTAGTACTTACAGAAATATCTGGCTGGCTGGGTTGTTGTCTTACGACTGGGCCTGTCAGGCTAAAGTGGGCAAAAGAACTCAAGACTAGATGGGCCACTACGTATCGCGTGGAACTCCTACTTGCTCTCAGCAGAACAAACTCCTGCTAATATGTCAAGTTGACACTGATGCTAGGCACGCCTGTAGAAGTTCTTACAGTAGTCAGTAGTTGCTATGGTTGGGTTTGATTGAGATGCTCACAGGCGTGGGCCTGCAAATTTGACGACCCTCAAAGCGCATTCATGACCCGTTGCACTTCTTTTCCAGTGCCAGTGTGGTCACACCAGTCTTGCTTCGTCTTGAAGACATTCACGACTAAAGGCCAAGTTCGAAGAAAGAGGC